AGGGGGGGCAGGGAGAAAAGTACAACAATGAATGAATGGAAATCTAAAGTCTCTGTAAATTTTCATTGAAATTAATAATAATATTAATGAAGTTGCAAAAAAGAGCAAACAGATCTTTATAGAACAATATATGGAAAATATCTGTAAATACAATAAAACCAGGAAGATACTTATTCCTTAGAACACTCAACAACACATGTGATATGGTTTTGTTCAAAGACAAAACCAAAAATTTAGAAAATGAGAGAGAAGATGAAGGAATGAATGAAAATAAGAATCAGAAGCAGTGAGTATGGAAAGTGATGGTACAAAGTGGGAGCTGTAATAAATGTCATAAAAACAATGTATGAATAGTTGAATGGATGCCACTCTGCTCTGTAGACTTTCATTCAAATTATGTTTAAGGAAAGAAGAGCCTTTAGAGTATCTTCTGACATGAATTATGCTCTCTTCTTTTTATCTTGTCTTTTAAAAAAAATTTTACACTAGTAGATTAGTATAAGCAACCCAGTCCTCACACAAAGGTCCAATTGATTCTCAACCACCTGCATCTACCATTTTCCTATTGTGCTCCCCAGGATCATTTTGGTACCTCTGTCTGCTGAGCTCACCTTGGTTAGGTTGTAGGAGTTCCGGAGGGACAGGAAGAAAGGAAGGCAAGAAAATATCTGATCTCAGGGAATTGGAGCATAAACTGAGACTTGGCTGCTGCCCAACCATGTTGGTGAAGGAAAAGACCTGCAAGGAGGGGCTTTCTCTCCCCTTAACTGTCTCCTTGTGATAGAATAAGAAAGTCCTTGAATCACATGTAGATGGCTTGGACAGATATCTTTTGTAACATCACTTCTTGCAATGACAGTGACCCTCCTTTCTCTCCACTGGGTTTTGAGAATGACCATGAAGTTAATGTAGTTCATGCTGAGACTACCTCCCGCTCCTGCATCTCTCTCCTATTTCATAGAGTATTTTTGGCTGGAAAGACAAAAAATTCCTTCCTGAGACTAATTCAAAGGGGAGTGAGGATTTGAGTATACTAGTGTCAGGCTTTGTTGCCCTTAACTTGGGAAAGGGTTCTCAATTTGACAACAGGGTTTGTAATGTAACACCTGCCATGGGTAATCTCACTAAGATCATTTGCTAATTACTCTGCTCTTCACTCTTTTGTAAAAGTGACTACAAAGCACTTTTCCCTGGACAATAGCTCTGTCTCCCTGCCTCAGTCTCTCTTTTTTTCTCTGTGTGTATAGGTGTCTGTATATGTGTGAACGTAGGTATATATTGAAAGTTGTCTTATGTGGGAAGTTATGAGTGTGTGTGAATCTTCACAGATGGTTGTGTGTCTATGTGTTTCTCTGTGTGAATAAATGTGTATGTGTGGAGTCATGTGCAGATATGTATGTGGGTGTGTTAGTGTATGAGTGTGGGTGCTTGTTGGGAAACACTGTGAGGGAGAGTTTTTTGGGGTATTGGGAAAGAGCAACTTGTTATAACCGGGCTCTAGGAAGACATGGTAAAACCTCACTAAAATAACACTAAAAATAGACCTGCCCCTTCCAGACACCTCTATATATTGCTATATTTCCATAACAGGAAACCAAAACCATGTGCATTTTTACATTGCATTTTCCCAGAAATCACCATAAAAGATTTCATATGAAGACGTCATAAAATTACAAGAAACTGACAGCCCAATTCTGAGTGTTACCTGACAGAGTTCTATGTTCCTCTCAACACCATCACAGTGTGTCAGTTTCAGTTGGAGCAAACTGGGTAGTCCTGTGAAATCTTAGCCTCACGTGGCAGAAGTTAGCAGTCCAAAAACCTTCTATCTCACAATACAGATCTATGACCTCGATCACAGTTTCTCCTCTACCTTTTCTTCCTCCAGAATGTCTGTGACTTAATTGAGTGTTCTCAAAAGTTGATAGATTCAAATATTAACAGAATGAGCACTGAGAATCTCTTACATCTTTCATTGGTAAGCTTGCTACTTGGTCCTTTTGTTGTTGTTGTTGTTGTCATCGTTGTTATGTGCCGTCGAGTTGCCTGTGGCTCATAGTGACCCTATGTACAACAGCCCTAAACCCTGCTCTGTCCTGTGCCAAACTCACTGTCTCTGACTCACCTACCTCCATTATTCTAGTTACTGAATCAATCCACCTCACAGAGGATCTTCCTATCTTGCGTTGTCCCTCCACCCTCCCAAGCATGACGTCCTTCTCCAAGGACTGGTCCCTCCTTGCAACATGTCTAAAGTATGTCAGACAAAACTTCAGAATCCTTGCCTCCAAGGAACAGCCTGGTTAAACCCTCTCCACGATGAACCTGTTTGTTTTCTTAGAAGTCCATGGTATAGTCAATACTTTTTTCCAGCACCACAGCTCAAAGGCATCAACTTTTCTTCTATCCTCCCTAGTCATTGTCCAGCTCTCTGATGCATAGCAAGTGATTGCAAAGACCATGACCTGTACCAGATGCACCTTAGTCTCTAGAGTAACATCATTGCTCTTCAGTACTTTGGAGAGGTCCCTAAGAGCAGACTTTCCCATTGCAATATGTCTTTTAATTTCCTGGCTACTGGTACCAAGAGTGTTAACTATGGAGCCAAGCTGTTAACAAAGCTGTTAACAATCTCAATCTCTTGGCCTTCCCTCCTGATACTGCCAATTGGCCCAGTAGTAAGAATCTTTGTCTTCTTGATATTGAGCCTCAATCTATACTGAAGGCCGCAGTCCTTGACTTTCTTTAAGGCAGAGCCAGAAACCACTGGGAACACTTGGAAAGCAGAGGATAGGAATTTTCAGAAGGGAAGAGAAGGCCAGCAGAAGGTGACCTCAGTCACCCCCCACCCTGCAGGTTAAACACAACCCAGAAGTCAAGGTGGAGCCAGAAACCATCACACCAGGAAAACAATCTATAAACCCGATCTACAGGACACATCACTCTCGCTTGGGAAACATTATCACTAAACTGAAGAGACACTGGCCACAGTATAAGAAATTGACAGCACCTGAAGTGTTTGGAATCACAGAAGCCCATGAAGCTTGAGGTATAAGCTATCAGATCAAGGGTTGGACAATGGGAGATAGGTGTTGAAGTGAGTGGATTGGAGTGGATGAGGATGCTGGAGGATGGTAGAGTAGGGAAATAAGTGGGTCAAGACTTGGTCCTTTAGGGAAGGTTATTGGCTGAATTGATCTTCAAAAGAGCCAGAAAAGGGGAGAGATAACCCCTCTTTGTAGGTTTCACCTTCACTGACGTGCTTTGGCAGCAGTCAAGTCTCAGTTTATGCTCCAATTCCCCAAGATCAGATAGTTCCCTTACTTTCCTTGCTTCCTATTCCTCCAGAACTCCCACACCCTAACTGAGGTAAGCTTAATGGATAGAGTACAAAAAGTTTCTAGGACAGCAGAAGACAGTGTGTTGCACAGAAAACCACTCCCACGAGAGAAGAAATGCGCATGTGTGTGCACACGCTAGACACATATTTGTGCTTGTCAATCATTCATTGGTCAGTTCCCTTAGTACACACACACTTTCACCTGAGAGGGCAGCCTAGTTAAAAAAAGAGAAGGCAGGAAGAAGAGCTGTGAAAGCAGAGAGAAAGGGAGCAAAAGGTTGTTATGGCTAGCTCCTGGCAGGCCTTTTGGCTCCTGCTTGCCATGCTGGTGGTCCTGGTGGCACTCACTAATCAAACAACAAAAAAAAGTTTTATAAGTATTCAAGAAGCATACATAACAGAACCCTATGTGGAGAACACAATCAGGTTCTTGATTGGTAAGTACAACCAAGAAAGTAAGGATCCATATAACTTCCGGATTGTCCGAGTCCTCAATATCCAGAGGCAGGTATGTACAAGCTCATTCCTCCCTGAATCATCCCATCGGGGTCATGACAGCTTGGAGGCATCTCCCACAAGGGATATTCAACCTCGCTCAGCCTGAAGTGGACATTTTTAAAAGAAACAAATTCATTAGAGTAGATGAGGTCACTTAAATGGTACCCCAAATCAATGGTTAGCAAATTAAGGCCCAAGAACCAAATGAATCTGCTGAATAAATTTGTAAAGACTATGATAAGCACCCTGTTCCACACACTTATATGTGTTGTCTCAGTTGCTTTCATACCACAACAGCAGAGTCCCAGTTGCAATAGTCTGTCTTATCCACTTGACTGATATATCAGTGTGGTAAACTAGTTGGGACAGAGATTGGCCCACAAAATCTAAAATAACTACTGATTTTACCAACCTCCGTTCAAAACAATAAAAAATTTTGTATAAAATGTTTTAGAGAAAAAAAGATTATTTTGTTTATTGATAATTAGCTGATTTCTTGTTAATTCTCCTCAGGTGACAAAAAGAAACAGGGAGCCCCTAATTCATCCTGGGCTAGGTCATAAGGGGTAAACTCTATGTGGTGGCCATGTTATATCCAATCCTGAGAGCCCGGGTTTCTGAGTGTACCACCATTCAGAGCTCATTGATGAGGAACACAGGGCTCAGGAAAGGAGGATGACTCAGAGGCCACTTGGCTGGTTTGTGAAGGAGTTGGAATTAGAACTCAAACCTGCATTAAACTAAATTCCCTAAGCTGCTGCAAGTAAGCCAGTGTTTTTGGCAATGAAAATACATATCTAATGAACTCGGAGGACTAGCTATTTCAAGATTTACATTGTAATTATAGAATGAACAAGTGTCTCTAATTTGACCTTTATTCGCCAAAGATGGGACTCACACATCAAGATTTTCTCCTTTGGAATTTCCTGAAGTCATTTCTACTTTTGTTCTCCCCATTCTTAGTCATTTCTAAACATTCCTAATCAAGGCTCTGATTAGCTTAGGGCTCCTAACCACTTCTTTTGCCCATCAAAACCATGGAGTGGAGAGAGCAGAGACCATGACATTTTTTTAAAAATAAAATTGGCGGTGCGCAGGCGACACACCGAGGGACAGGTAGAGTTGGGCACAGCCGCTAGGTCCGCTCTTGGTCCGTGCTGCCCCGTCGCGCTGCCGGTCCAGTGACCTTTGCGGCTGTCATGGGAGTGCAGGTGGATACCATCTCCCCCGGGTGCACCTTCCCGAAGCGCGGCCAGACCTGCATGGTGCACTATACGGGAATGCTTGAAGATGGAAAGAAATTTGATTCCTCACGGGACAGAAACAAGCTCTTTAAGTTTCTGCTAGTCAAGCAGGAGGTGATCCGACGCTGGGAAGAAGGCGTGGCCCAGATAAGTGTGGGTCAGAGAGCCAAACTGACCTTCTCCCCAGACTATGCCTGCGGGGCCACTGGGCACCCAGACATCATCCCGCCAAATACCACTCTCGTCTTCGATGTGGAGCTTCTAGAACTGGAATGACAGGAATGGCCTCCTCCCATAGCTCCTTGTTCCTGGATCTCCCACAGAGGGATCTGGCGCCTCCAGACACGCGCACGTCACTCCACACGGAGCTTCCCCGATGTTCCACTCCACTCTATAACCATATGCTCTGACCGAATGTGTTCTGTCACTCAGCTTTGCTTCCGACACCTCCGTTTCTTCTTTCTCTCTCTCTTCGTGTGTATGTTGACTTAAACGATATACCATCAACCTCAGATTATTAATTATTTTTTTGTTTTGGGGTGAAGATTCAGTTTCAGTCTTTTGGGTCTAGGTTCCAGTTAAGCATATGATCCAGTATTAACAGCACAAACAGTGGGTTCACTTTAGAATAGGACTCAGTGGGATGGGAAGGGTTTGGGGGAGAGGGGCGCAAGAAACTTTATTTTATTGTATTTTTTATGAAATTTTTATTACCTATTAAATATTTTTGCTGCTGCTGCGCTGCCAAACCATAGCAGATGTGAGGCGCTCTTGAGGGCTGAACTGTCCTCCACAAAGAGAAGATGTCCTTGGGTTGAATTACAAGCCCTCCCCAGAAATGAAGTGAGGAGGGGGAGAGCCTTTGCTTCCCCCCTCCTCCGCGCAGACCCTCTGCCTTTCTCAAGCAGATTGCTTTCACTGCAGTGTCAGACACTACAGGGATCTGTGCCCCGGCCAGCAGGGGCCTCGGAAGCCGCCTTTGTGGCCTGGCTTATATAATTTTTATTTTAATTTTCTTTTTTTTTGCAGTCCTGCGGTTTTTCTAAATGGATTTTCAGTACTTTTTAATCTCAAAGCTATCAGAGCGCAACCACTTCCTAAATTTTCAGAACTTTAATTGAAAGTTTAAATTGAAGGATGCTTTTTGTAGACACTTAACCACCCAATGAAAATCCAGCCAGCCATCAAGACAAATCCTTGAGTGTTCTCTTCAGAAAATGATGGTCATTGTAGCTTCAGCATCTCCCCCTGCTGAGCTCAGTTTCCTGGCTTCCCTCCCCCTCTCACCCCTCTGCTGTCTTGTGTAGTAATTTGGTGAGAGAAGTTGACGCTTTCTCCCTTCCCCCATCTTCTGCACCACGTAGGAGTTTCCACTTTTATTATTGCAATAAAAGTGTTTTATGCTGGCTTTTCTAAAAAAAAAAAATTGGCTGGGCAAGCCATACAGTTCCATTCCCTTTTAAGGGACAGAAAGCAATGGCAATGAAAGATTAACTGTGTGGTTTCAGTGTGGCCTTCCAGGCAAGGCCACAGTCATTACCAGCAGTGGGTATGCACACATAGCAGCCCCCCCCCCCCAATTACACAGTGCCAATTTCAGGCCCAATCCCAGCCTGAATGGGGACTTGTAGAAATTCTCACCAGCGGAATTGAGAATTCTCCTGATTCTTCAAATGGTGACAGATTCGTGGTTCCTTTGCAGTCTGAAGGTGTTGCCAGTGTCATATCTGAGAAACCCTAACAGGGTTTCTTTTTATTTTTTTCCTAATAGGGTTTCTAATAGTTACTAATAGTTAGGAAAGCACAGTAGTGGCCAGCTGACCTTGTTCTTGCTGATACCAAGGGCCTCATCTGCTGGAACCCTGAAACGTGTCAGCCCAGCCTCTGGCTACAATAGTCTTACCATCAGACAATACAAATATTGCACTACTGAATACTTTTGAATCTCATGCATTCTTTTCTGTTTACACCAGCAGTGAGTGGAGTAACAAGAACATGTAGATACAGTGAAATTACATTTAGTGCATTAAAAAGCTCACCCAGGCAAGTGCAAATGAGCTTGTAAAATAATCAGGTGCCAACATGTAGCTGTCTCTCATTCAATGACATCCAGTCACACACAGCTTGTTGTTAGCAAGCCCTTTAGTTTTTCTTAATAAATTTGATGACTTACTCAGGATTGGGAGTCCAGAGTGGCCTGGCCAGCTCCTCTGCTCCCTTCTTTTTCCGGGTATTCAAACTTAGTAACTTGCTCTGTGTCTTGGCCAAGAACAGAGATATGTTTCTAGCAAGGACAGCTTCCTGTTTGCCGCCTGGAGACTTTACCTTAGATTTTTGTTCTTGTTTTAATTTTTAATAACCAAAATTGCATTTGTTTGGCTACTTGCCATTGTTGAGTATGCATTTATTGTGTTTTACAAATGTGTGTGTGTGTGTGTGTGTGTGTGTGTGTGTAAAACCAAACAATAAAAAAGTCAAGGCATGTATAAGAGATATTTTAAAGAGTTATTTATAAAGGGAAACAAAAATGTGTGTTATAAAGTAAAGAGATCTTATGTATAATATATTTTTTAATATATAATGTAGATGTGAAGGGGTATCCTGGTAGAGGGTGGACCTGGGAAATAAGTGGGTCAAGGCACTGGGTTAAGGGCAGGGTCAACACTGTAACTAAAGGTTAACTCCTCAATGAGGAATTTATCTTTCACTGCTCCACAAATTGCTTGTTGTCAGACACTCCTCTAAATCTGAACATTCAGATTAAGACAGACTAGGAAGAAGGATTGATCATCCACTTCTGAAATAGCAGGCCTCTGAAAACCCTATGTACAACAGAACACACGTAGACTAAAAGACAGGGCAACCTAGGTAGAACTGTCAAGCATGGAAGTACAAAGGAAGAGGAACAGTTGTAAGCAGACACTAGTAATTGGAACACGGGATGTGAGAACCATGAATGTAGGAAAACTAGAAATTGTTAAGAAAGGAATGGAACGCATAAATATTGACATTGTAGACATTAGAGAGATGAGATGGACTGGCATGGGGCATTTTGAGTCAGATGATCATATGATATATTACTCTGGAGATGAAAAGGTGAGGAAAAATGGGGTTGCTTTCATAGTTAAAAA